AGCGTGGATTCCGGCCCCCGCAGCCCCTCGTCGCCCCGCTCGCGGCCAGCGTGCGAGAGCTGCTCCGGGTGCACCGGAGCCCACCCAAGGGGGAGGGGTGGTCAGAGAGACGCGGCGGGCCGGGGAGAGAGGGGACGCGCGCGCCTTCGAATACTCACTCGTGGCGCCGGCCGGCTCGCAGGGGCCGCCAGCGCCGCTACGGAGGCGCTGCCCGCCGGGAAGGTGCTCGGGAGGGGCGCTGGTCACTCCTTGGCGGCGCCTGCGGCCGGAGGGACGTGGGCTTCGGCGTGGCGAGCAGCGCGGGCGAGAGAGGGACGGCGCGCGGCTCCCAAACGAGCCGCACGGGCTTCGTCTGGGCCGCCGAGGCCACCTCCTTGGTCGAGGCGGCGGGCGTGATGGCGAGGTGGGCCGAGGCAAGCGTTGAACGTGCCGCCATGCGCCCCTGAGGAGGGACGAGTGGGTGGGGTGCCACGGGGCGGGGGGGGAGAGGTGAGAGGAGAGTGGTGGTCACCCCCACGAGGGGTGCGAGGACGCCGTCTGCCCCCCCCAGCCCGCCACTGACGCCGTGGGGGCGGCACGATCGAGGGCGGTGGTCGGGGCCGGCGGGCCGTCTGAGTCGCCCAAGCGGTGCTCTGCCGGCTGGTGGACGCACCCGAGAGTGGCCCGAGCGGGCTCAAATTACGGAGCCGCTCCCCGGCCGTCCCGGGCGCCTGTCACGCGGGCCGATGGCCCAGCCGTCCTGTGAGTGGCTGGAGCAAAGGGGGGAGAGCTCAGGAGGGCGACGGGGCAGGGAAGGGGGCGGTGATGCGGTGCGGCGGGGTCTACTCGGCGGCGTGTAGAGAGGAGGTGCTAAAAGGCGACTATAAAGAGGCGTCTACGGGTGATATGGTGCGCCACGACGGCGGGAGAGCTCTCTCCCGCCGCCCCGCGGGCCGCCCCGAGGGGCCTTGCAGCCCACGCGCTCAGGCGCCGCTGTCGCGGGCAGAAGCGCCGCAGTGAAGGTGTGTCGGCCGCCATCTACAGGGAGCCAAACCGCTCGGGTAGGGGAGGCAAGCGCGAGCGGGTGGAGGGCAGTCTCGACCCGCCTACGGCGTTGTGGTGAGGGTGGGTATGTGGGCGACTTCCATTGAGTCAGGAGCGTCGCCGCGCGCCGCCATCGCCCGCCGTGTGCCTCTCTGCCGGTGAGCGCGCGACGCAGGCACCTATCGTCAGAGGGGGGGGAGGGTGAAGCGCGAGCGTTTCGTGGACCTAGGAGCCGCGGCAGGCGGCATGTAGCCCACTGATAGCCCCGACCCAGGCCTCGTAGCTTCAGATCCCGCGCGCCGGGTCGTAGTATCGGCTCTGAGACGAGGGTTTGGGCTCCGCGATGGGCAGCAGCGACTAGAGCCTTGCCCAAGTTGGACCACTTTCTCTAGCTGCGCACCATTTCGCGTGTGGAGTTTTGCCGAACTATGGTGTGCATAGGCTGCTGGTGTGGGGCGACCGGGTCTCACAGTGGGGCATCGCGCGTGGGGCAGAGGCCAGAAGCCCGGCGTGTCGACCAGCGAGTCGGGGTGCATCGGCTGCCGGCGTGTGTGTACGATCGAGGATGACGCTACGAGGGTCGCCCCCCCTGGCTGACAGCCCTGACGCCCTTCACTTCGCCGAAGCCGGGAGTGGCATATGCGCTGCGTCACGCTCACGAACAGCCGTGCGCAAGTGGCGATGAGCGAGGGCTATGAGTGCAACGCGCTGAGGCGGAGCTGACTTTGCTCGATTTTTAGCAAAACGGGCCCAGACCCTTGGGGACACCTCTCGGGTGGGCTCGGGTGCACCCGGCTGCACGGGGAGGGCGCGCCGCGGGGCGCGTGCGGCCTCTTCGCGCTGCCCGACCACGCCCACTTTGGGGAGGGCAAGGGCGGCGAGGAGGGGGGCGGCGAGGAGGCGCCGCCGCGAGAAGGGGAGGGCGGGAGGAGGAGTGGGGGAAGTCGCGACTCCGCGACACGTGTCCCTGTAGGCGCGGCCAGACTACGAGTCCCTCCTCGAGCTGCTGGCCGAGGAGGGGCTGCTGGCGGAGCGGGTGGCGGCGGTGCCGGCGGCGAGGGCGGCGGAGTGGGAGGCGTCGCAGGGTGCGATCGAGGTGGAGGGGCGAGAGCACAATGTGCACATCTTTCTCGTGCGGGCTTCGGCGGCGGGTGGAGGTGGAGGGGTGAAATCATGATGCGCACGGCGAACGGGATAATGGGCGAGCTCGAGATAGACACCTCGATCTTGGTGTTCGCAACTCACCGGCGAGCGCCCGCAGCATTCGCCGACTTCGAAGAAAAAGAAAAACGTTAATGAATAAAGCTTAAAGGCGCACCGGACCCACCTCGGACCTCGCTCAAACGGCGCGCTGCGCTGACAGCAGATAGAGCCGTACACAGGCCTGCGCTGAGGCTACACGCCTAACGCGCACACGTACCGTCGGGTACTTATTTTAAGACGAGGTAAACGGCAATAGATCCGGCCCTCAAGCGGCCAATCGATACCCAGGCTCACGGAATCGGTCCCTCGTTGTACAGCAATCGATCCTTCACAGTGCCCGTCCTGCCAAACTTGCCGAGAATCGGTCCCCCACCCAGGTCACCTGTGGCGCGAAGCTCATGTCTCCCGCCCTCGGCGCGCCGACCGCGCAGCGGCGGCAGACCACCCTCCGGTTCGAGGGGCGCCTGGGGCTGAGCGGGCTGCCTCCGCCAGAGTTTGGCTCGCCCACCGGCGGGCTGTCACCCTGCCACGGGTCGCAAGCCCTCTGTCTGCCGGCCGGAGCGCAGGCTGCGCAGGCTTCCAGCAATTGGTCCCTTGGCAAGCGCGAATCGGTCCCCCTGGCTCCAGGAACTGATCCGGCACTGCATCCGGATCTATTGCTGTTTACCTCGTCTTAAAATAAGTACCCGACGGTATCGCAGTCCCGTTATCAGCACTAAATCACCGTCGAAAAAAAGAAAGAAAACAACCCCAAGGGAGGGATGGGAGGACGGCACCGTCGCCTTATCTAAAGATGACGCCTTTTTTCTTCTTCTCGCGCGCCCAGAATTCAAGTTCATCGCCCGTACCCCCAGGGCCATCGCCCGTACTCGAGTACCCCAGCTCGGCCGGCCAGCATGTCCACGCCTTGGTACCAGCAAAAGCGCCAAAAGCAGAGAACGCAGCCGGAGCCGCCGGAGCCCCTCGACGCGAACTCCGGTAGCGACACCGAGCTGCAGGCTGACGATAGCGACGAGGGCGCCGCCGCGTCCCTCATCCTCATCGGAGCCCTCACCACCTCGTCTGACACCTCAGCGGAGCCCTCACGGCGCAGCTACACATTGCTGGGCGAGCGCGTGCTGATCCCAGCCATCCTCAAGAACAGCACGACGGGCTACAAGTGCGTGTCCTTCAGCCACCAGTATAAGAAGTTCAAGGCGCATGCCAGGGTTGGTGGCAAGCAAGTCCACCTCGGCTACTTCGACACCGCCGAAGAGGCGGCCTCCGCCTACGCTCGCTCGGCGTACGGCCGTGCCGACGCCGCCAAGCTGCTGCAGCCTCGCTCTGCTCCCACTGCCGCTGGCGCCGAGGCGATACGGCAGGCGGAGAGGGAGGGCCTGACTCTGGCCACCAGCAGTAACAACAGCACAGGCTACAAAGGCGTGAGCTTCTGCCCGAAAGGCAGCAAGAAGTACAAGCTGGCGGTGAGGGTTGGAGGCAAGCAGGCCACCATCGGCCGCTTCACCACCGCCGAGCAGGCGGCGCTCTTCCACGCCCGCAGGGAGGCGGGCAGGGACATGGTTGCGCTCTATCCTCAAGAGACACCGCCGCCGCCGCCGCCGCCGCCGCCGCCCGCGCCTTCCTCTGCTGCTGGCGCCGAGGCTGTCCGGCAGGCGGAGAGGGAGGGCCTGACTCTGGCCACCAGCAGCAACAACAGCACAGGCTACAAAGGCGTGAGCTTCACCCCGAAGCAGCAAGGCAGCAAGAAGTACATGCTGAAGGTGAGGGTTGGAGGCAAGAAGGTCACACTCGGCCGCTTCGCCACCGCCGAGCAGGCGGCGCTCTTCTACGCACGCAGGGAGGCGGGCAGGGACACCAGCGATCTCACCGCGCCGCCGCCACCGCCGCCGCCACCCGCGCCTTCCTCTGCTGCTGGCGCCGAGCTAGGCTGAATTAGAGCGAGTTCGAGTGGTGTGCGTACGGCGAGAGCCTCCAAGCTTGACTTTTCTTTGCAATTTGCCAACAACGACACCCACACGCCGCATCCTCGTCCACCCACCCAGCACATGAGCACATGACCTCGAACCCACACCCCCTTTCGGGCCTTGCTTGCCAGCCTCCCTCCTCTGGCTCCTCCGCGCCGCCTTTCAGCCACATATGATAGAGCAGCCGCCGGTTAGCTCGCGATCTCGCTACGCCTTCTTCTCCGTGACGGTGCTTCTCGCGGTGCTGCTCGTCATCGTCTCGCATAGCCGAACAGCAGACTCTGGGGCAGCTCTGAAGACGCTGGGCGCCGACTCGGCGCTGGGCAGCATCGCACATTTGGGAAGCCGCCTAGAATCCTTCAATCAGTGCATGGCTCTTCGAAACTCCTACTTCCTAAAGCTAGCCATCAACGAGTTTTTCGCGACGACGCTTTGGAGCGATATTGACCCCGAGACGCCGGATGCCTCCATGGATCGCGACCCGTTTCCCGAGCCAACCGAGCTGAGCGGGCCTCCGTTGGGATCCGGTTGTTTGCTCGCGTGTGCAGAGAATCTGGGCGGAGAATTGCGCACGAACTGGCCGCAAGCCCTGTGGAGCCTCGGCGGCTGGCTGGGGGCAGCGAATGAGACGACCAACTGGCTGGGCTCGGCGCTGGGCGGCTCTAGTTGCGGGGAGGTGCATACTATCCACGACCTCGGCGGCTCGATTAATGGCGTCCAAGGACTCGAACTGGTCGACCTCGACGTAAGTCCGGGGCATTCATGTCACCCCGCTGCGACGGCCTTCAATGTCATGGGCCGCCTCACGCTCGCCGTCGGGGCGGGGGCGCCCGATTTCGGCTCAGCGCTGGGAAGTGCGATTGACGAGGCTCTCCTGAGCCGGCGGAAGCGGCGAGGCGAAGGTAAGCTGGAGATTCGTTCCGCTGTGGCTTCTCACTCCGTCTGCAAGATTGGAGGCGATGCGCGGCCCAACGCCTCGTTGGAGGTGGGTCCTCTAACGCTGGGCGCGTGGCTATACAACGTCACCCTCTCCTCGAGTTTCGCCATGTCCATCGCGGCATGCTCTGTGACGAGCATCAAGGTCAGCGATGTTGATGTGGGCTGGGAGGCGGCGTCGGTAGGGCACCGCGCAGGTCGGGACATCCGCGGAGACGCCCCGTTTTCGTCCGTGCGGCTTGGGGCATACGGCGGCGGCTTGGGGCGTGTGTTCGACGACGACGACGATGAAAGCACCGATGACAATGTCCGGGAGGCCGACTTGTGGGCGTCGGTGCAGAGCTTTGACCCGGGCGCTGCCATGCGCACTCTCGATGGGCTATACATGCGGCCGCAGATCTCGGCGAGCTTGCAGTCGGCACTGAACCGGATCCTTTCCGATAGCCTCCCCCAGCAGCTCTGCGACCGTGGGTCAGCCGAGGGCATGGGCGAGTATGCCAACAAGCTCGCCACGTCGTCTTCGGCCGCGGGCGCTGGACTCAAGGCAGGGTTCGGAAGCCGCTTCACGCGCCTATCAAAGGCGGGCGCCGAGCTTCGAGGCGCAGCCAGCACAGGCTGGCAGCAGAATCAGCAGAATGTTGCAGAGGGATGGGCAGACGTCCGCAGGGTGGCCTCGTACACGAGCTTCCTCGAGCACGTGCAGCTGTTCAAGCAGCTCTCGAAGATGCAGCGGGACAGGCTGGTCGGGTCGCTCGAAGAGGTTGTGTACCAGCCCGGTGAGGACATCATCACCGAGGGCGAGGTCGGCACCCACTTCTACCTCATCGTCGAGGGCCAGGTCTCCGTGACGAAAGCAGGGCAGGAGGGCGTGCTCGCGCGTCGCTCGACGGGCGACTACTTTGGAGAGCGCGCGCTAAGGACGGGCGAGAAGACGACGGCGACGGTGAGCGCGACAGGCGCTACGCCTGTTAGGCTCGTGCGGCTAGACCGGTGGGCCTATGAGCATATGCTCAGCCCGGTCGACGATCTGCTCCCAATGCGCAAGTACTCGTCTCCACCGACAGCCCCGCCGCTCGCTGCACTGCCCACCAAAGTTTGGTGGAGTAATTGACGCTGACGGCAGAATGGGGACCTGTCACAGCGAGACGTGCGCCGCCGCGGAGAGACGACACTGCGCGGGAGGGAGACCGCCGCGAGTTTTGTGATTCCGTGCTCAAAGTAAATAATCGGGCCGTGACTAGTCGTACGGATAGCAACACTTCCTCTCCCCCCGGACGCTCACACCTCTGGCCAGTCCTCCTCCTCCTCCTCCTCGTCGTCCTCGCTCGCGGCGCGCATCTTCAGCTCGAGCAGCGGCCCCACCTTGTCGACCTCCTCCTCGCTCGGGATCACAAAGTCCGTGAGCGACGCCTGCCGCCCCACCAGCACGAGCGGCGCGCTCAGCGCCATCACGAAGTACTTGCCGCCGCCGCGCGAAAAAGCGCCCACCACGTCTCCGGCGTCCGCGTCGTCCTCGTCCGCGTCGTCCGCCATGTCGAGCTCGTCGTCGTCGTCGAGGTCGCCGGCGATCGAGTCCTCGCCCGCGTCATCGATCGCGGTCTCGACATCGCCCGACAGCGTCAGCGTGAAGGCCGTGTCGAGCAGCTCGAGCCCGTACTCACCGCACGCCCGCCGGGCGGCAGGCAGCAGCTCGCGGATCGCGCCTGGGTCCTCGACCTCCGCCAGGACGCCCTGCTCGGCGTCGAGCGTCGCGAGGATGGCGGGCGTGTCGCGCGGCAGCAGCGAGGCGTACAGCTCGCCGTCCAGCTCGGCCGTCTCCATCATCGAGCACTCTATCCGCTTGCCCTCACTACCATCGAGCAGGCTCACCTGGAAGGACTCGCCAGCATCGAGCTCGGCCGCCACAGCCGCACGCGACGGCGGCGGGCAGCCTCGCCGCACAGCAGGGGAGTGCCTCGCGACAGGGAGCAGCCCGCACGAGTGGAGCGCGAGCGTGATCATCGTCGCGGCGAATTCTTTTTATTTCTCTTTGGAGAGACGGGCGCCTCCCTCCAGCTGGTCGGGCGGGTCGCCGTATGGAGGGAGCAGGTGGTGCCGGTCGAGGCGTCACGCGAGGAGCGCGTGGAACATTCTGGAGAGAAAGAAACCGCAGGGGCGGAAAGCAAACGAAGAGCAAGTGGGGGCTCGTTCGAGGAAAGGCCACCACCACACAAACAACTCTCTCAACCACACAGGAAGCGGCGAAACTTTGCTTCGAATTTACTTGGTTTACCCGGGCCGGCGGGTTCGCACAACCCGGCGGCTTCGAGGTTACTTGGTTTACCCGGGCTGGTCAGGTTGGTTGCGCGCCGCCGGTTCGCAAGACCGCCGTCTTGGTTCGCGCGCAGTGTGCCGCGGTGCATGCCCAAAAACGGCGCAACTGTGGCTGACAGCGGCAGCTCGCCGGCCGCAGCCACGCCCGACAAAAGCAGGCCGGCGGCCGCCAGTACTGCAGCAACAAACGGCAAGCGGCCATTCGCTTCGGCGCCGGCTGCCGCCGCTGCCGCCGCTCCGCCTGCCGCCGCCCCGCCGTCCTCCTCCCGCGACGATTCCAGCTCTCCGCCCACGCTGGCGCCTGCGCCGTCCGGCTGCAGCTCGAGCTCTGGCGCCTCGAGCAGCGACGCGGCGCTGATCGACGAGGAGCCGGCTGCCGCGGCGGCCGCCTCCGGGCCGGCCGCCGGGCCTTCAGCAGGGTCCTCTGCAGGGCCATCGGCTGAGCTAGCCAACGGAGCAGCGGAGGAGAGAGCAGCGGAGGAGAGAGCAACGGCGGAGGGAGCAACGGCGGAGAGAGCAACGGCGGAGAGAGCAACGGCGGAGAGAGCAGACGAGGAGGGAGGAGCGGAGGAGAGGGCTGAGGAGGAGAGGGCTGAGGAGGAGAGCGCTGGCGCGGGGCGCGGTACCTCCGATGCGGCGCGCTCCGCCGCGGCGCTGGCGCGGATGCTTCTTCTCACGTGCCGCTCCCGCGCCTACATTCTCGACCGGCGCGCCTTTCTGCGGGTGCGCGAGAGAGACACCTCCCGACAGACAGACGCCCCGAGAGACCTCCCGAGACACACCTGACACCTGGCGAAGGCACACCTCGCGAAGGCACACCTCGCGAAGACACGTCCTGCCCTCCTAACGCCGCACACGCCGCGCCCTCTCCCCTCCGGCACCGCACCACCGCTCCGCTGCTCTCGACAGAGATTGACGCCCCCGCCCCAGCTCCCGCCCAAGCCTGGCCTGCCTCCGGCCTGCCCCGCGCCTTGCCCCTCCCACCTTCCCCGCGCCCTGCCTGCCTCACACACCCCTGCCCGCCCGCCCGCAGACTCCGCTCGGCGAGCAGCGGCTGCAGAGACGGCTGGCACCGCGGCCTAGATGCGCAGCAGCACGGCCTCCGCGCGGAGCAGACACGCGGGAGCAGTCTGCACTCTTCCGTCTTCCGCCGCCCTGCAGCCTCGTTCCGCCGCAGACGTGGACCCGCACTCGCGTGGGGGTGGACAGGCTGCACGCCAACCCCCCCCCCCTCCTCGTACCCCAGGCAGCGCAGCAGCCCGCGGCGGCGTCGCACCGGCATCCGCCGCCGCCTCAGCAGCGCATGCAGCACCCGCCGCATTCGGCGCAGCGCGTGGCCGGGCAGGGCAGGCCGCCGCCGCCGCTGCCGTCGCACGGGCAGGCCATGCGGCACGGCTTCTCGATGGCGGGGCCGGCCATGGCGGGGGTGGGCATGGCGGGCATGGTGGGCATGGCGGGGGCGGGCATGGCGGGGGCGGGCATGGCGGGGGCGGTCTACATTCCTCCGGCCCACGCGGCGGAGCACCATCCAGCCGCGCGTGTCGTACCGCCGCCGCTGGGGATGCATTTCGCGCAGCCGGTGGCTCCGCACGCGGTCTTTCCTGCTCTCGGCACCCGCACGCGCTACACGGCTCTCGCCTTCTCGACGCGCGGCTTTCTTTTTTCGTAGGCGCTCCCGCACGCGGCGCAGTACGACGCGGTGTCGCACGCAGCGCCGCATAGAATGCTGCACACACGCCCCCTCCCCATTCATCAGCAAGCCTTCGCCATGACGCGCGTGCCGGCTGTATTCCGCTGCACCTCAGCCGCACTTCAGCCGCACTTCAGCCACGTCCACCGTCTTTGCAGCCTCTGGATTTGCGCGAGGCGCAGGTCAGCGGTGCAGAGTTCCGTACTCACACTTGGGCTCTGTGCAGGTGCCGCAAGGACCCATCACGGCCGCCGCCCACCACGCAATGCTCGCGCGGCGAGGGTAATGCGACGCTTCCGAGACACGTCCAAGACACGCCCCTTCCCCCTCACCCCTTCCCCACTCCTGCCCCTGACACACGCACACGCCCCGTCAGCACCTCCGCCTCCGCTCTGCCCGCGCCCGCGCCGCCCTCGTCACGTCGTCCACTGACACGTCCACTGACCCGTCCACTGACATGTCCGTTGACACGTCCGTTGACACGTCCACCGACACGTCACGCCCGCGGACACTTCCGCCGACACGTCCACGACGCGACCGCAGGTACCCTCCTCCGCCCCACTTTGCGGGCGCACGGTCGGCCGCGTGCGGAGACGGGCTCGGGCGAGTCTGGGGGCACGGGCCGCAGCAGCAGCAGCAGCTGCAGCAGCAGCAGCAGCAGCAGCAGCAGCAGCAGCAGCAGCAGCAGGGGTGGAGGGCGGCAGCTGAGCACGCGCTGCACCAGCATGGTGCTGCGCTGCATGCTTTGGCTGGCCAGGCGAGAGAACCCGAAGCGGCTGGCGTGCTCGGCCGCGCGCGCGTGCTCGCCCAGCAGCAGGAGGACGCCCGGTCCATGATGGTCGAGAGGCAGCAGCAGCTGCAGCGCCAGCAGCAGCTGCAGCGCCAGCAGCAGCAGCCGCAGCCGCAGCAGCAGCAGCAGCAGCAGCAGCAGCAGCAGCAGCAGCAGCAGCAGCAGCAGCAGCAGCACGGGATGAAGCGACCCTTCGAATCAGCGGCAGCATCGCGCTTCGACAGCGTGCGGCGGGCGGTGCAGCAGGCGCCCGAGGCTGCCCGCGAGACTGCGGCCGCACCACGACAGCCCACGAGATGGGTAACCACGGTCGACCTCACCGATTCGCCGCCCCGAGACTCGCCGCCCCGGCCCTCGCCTCCACGGCAGCCTCCGCGGCAGCAGCCGTCGCCACAGCAGCAGCCGTCGCCACAGCAGCAGCCGCCGCCACAGCAGCAGCCGCCGCCACAGCAGCAGCCGTCGCCACAGCAGCAGCCGTCGCCACAGCAGCAGCCGTCGCCACAGCCGCCGCCGTCGCCACAGCAGCTCCCGCCGCAGCAGCAGCAGCCGTCGCCCCACCCTCACGACCCGCAAGCGATGGTCAACGGTGGGGGCGCCAGACGTGCGCCCGAGAGATGGGGAGGTGTGGGCAGATTTGCGCCCGAGAGCGCCGCCGCTGCCGAGAGCCCTGCCGCTGCTGAGGGGCCCGCGGCGCCGGAGCCGGAGCCGTGGAGTGGGATCATGAGGGTCGACGGGCGGGTGTACCGACGCAACGTTGCGCACTTTGCCGCGGTTCGCGCTTGCAACACTTGCCTCTCCTCCCCTCCCCACCACCCCACCCCACACCCCAAGGCCCACTCCAGACATGACACTCCAGACATGACTGTGACGTCCTCCTCGCCCTGCCGCACCATCCCCCCCCCCCCCCCCAAAAAAACTCCGCCCCTCACCCCCCCGGTGGGTGCACACCAAGCAAATCCCATCCATAGCGAGCACTACAAAGATAGATGGGAGCCACTCGCCCGCCGTGTCACTCCCCAAAAGCGTGGCGCCCTTACAAAAGGAGCGCCGGGCCCGCA